TTGAATGGGCAGTTAAAGTTACGCTTGTGAACACAACCTTCCATGTTTATTGATTTTATGATGGAATTTTTTTTTATAATAAATTGATTTAATTGTCTACCGAATTGAAGTGCCATTGTTTCCGTACATAAAAATTACAGCCATACAAAGATGATTTTTCTCATTGGTTAGTTAGATGAACAGCCCTAATTCTCCTTCTTTCTTGTTGAAAATTAATTAGTTTTAAAATTGAAACAGATTCGAACACATTCCCTTAATAGGAAAAGCATATACACATTTTTTTTCCTAATTTGTCAACATATAAAAAAATATCAATAGTATAGCTTATTCAAATACCTAAAATAACTAAATAGCTAAGTTTCTGTAGACTGAAAATACACAAGATATAGGGTGCTAATGGAATGCCAAAAATTTTAAAACTTTCAAGTTTTTAAATTGAAAGCCTTTAAGTTAAGAACTTGGGATGCCTAAAAGATGTGATTGATTTTACAGGTGATAATAATACGCATTTTTGTTGGTAAATATAATACATATTAATCAGTAATAAAAAAAATTCAAACTAAAAGTTTCCACATCTTCATTTTTGTTTTTTTCGTTTTTTCTTTTTCTTTTTTAGATATTAGAACAAGATTTCAATTGGTAGTCTAACAAAAGACCAAGATTCAAAACCAACATTTTCACAGAAGATTCATAATCAACAACGTCAGAGGTGATGAGGAATGTTTTACTTTTATTTTATGTGAAATTATCATTTCACAATTGACATTCAATTCTTTATTTTTTTAGTTTAAATTATAAAACATCAACTATTAAATACAGAGAAATAACTTCTAATATCAAAATATTTATCTTATTTAATAATTTACATTGTATAATTCAAATGGTTTCTAATTGACATTTAGCCAATTCTACGAGATATTAAGAGCCAAATCATACCAACAGCAACATATATACTCAAAGGAAAAAAAAAAAAGTTAGAAGAGAAATTATTTCATGTAATTATCAATGACATTGACATCCCTATTCAAGGATGTCAACAGGGCCTCGCAAGGTCGGGGGGTCCCTCCCCATCTTTGTTTCTATCCCTCATCACGGGGATTTTTTATGAGAGATAGATTTTGTCCTTCATCCTCATTCTCCGCCAATTAATATCAAAATATACATTTTTTACATCAAACATAAATAAAGATTAATTTAACATAAATAATTAAATTGACAAACTTGTTTCAAACATATATAGATATTAATCCAACATAAACCAATATACTTGTTCCAAACATAATGGCTTCAACTTTGAGCAGCAACAACAGCAGTAGTCCAGATGGATTCGACAATAGCAGTGTGTTCAACAACACCTCCAGCATCAGAGTCTTAGAGACAGTTCAACAATCCACAGATTGAATGGCAGATTGGAAAATGGCTTCGACTTTGAGTAGCAGTTCAAATGGATTCGGCAACAGTAGATCAATAGCAGCAATTGAGGGATTTAGGGTTTCTAAGTTGGCAGAAAGGCAAAGATGAAAGTGAGGGCAGAAGGGTGAGATGTGAGACTAAGAAGGGTAGAAGGGCAGCAATGGAGTTGTGGAGGGAATCAAGGGATTTAGGGTTTGAGATTCGTAGGGGAAGGTTGAAGGTGACTTAGGTGAGAGAGTCCGAGAGTGAGAGGCAATTAGTGAGTATAAATGAATAAGGTTACTTAGGGTTAAAACTTAAAAGGTTAATGATGGGTTGGGCTAGGTTGGGTTGGGTTAAGTTTTTTTTAATTGGGTTTGGGTTTGAAAATAGTATTAAATTCAAAATCAAATTAAATTATATATTTTTTAAAATTTTTTGTGGAGATGGAGCCTCGTGAGACAGGGAAAATTCTCTACAAAATTTCACGAGAAGGAAATGCCCCATGTTCCCACCCCGCTAGGAGGAATACTCCTCCTCGCCCCGTTTCCATGGCGGGGATCGAGGCAAATTACCGTCCCTATCCTTGAATAATATCCTACCCAATGCCAACAGCCGCAAGAATTTTTAGTGTTCAGACAAGTAATCATATTTGCTTAAAAAAAAAGGCCCAACCCAACCTAAACAAGACATTGGGACACCGTTGTCTAGCCCATGGGCTTCTAAGCCCCTTTCAGTTTCATGGAGCCTAGTTAATTATTAAAATTTTTTATTTTACAATTCTAACTATACTATAATACAAATACGAGCTATTGGGTGGGTGACAACTTTAATATTTAAGAGTGTCAAAGAATTCACCTCCATCTATTGAGTTAAGTTGTGCGATATAAATTACATAACACTTTTTTTCATCTTTGTAGTAATTAATCATTGTTAATTGAACTTTAAGTCAGGCATTAACTTACTGGACCTTCTTCCTTCCATATACTTCCTCAGATCCAAGCACTACTAACCCAACCCAAACCCTTGCATGTTCCACTATTTGCCTGCACCCAAGCGAGCCCTTTACTACTTTATGGAGCCCAACTCCACTTGATCCTTAGATAACAAGGCCGCAACAGCGAACTCGGCCCATGTCTGACATCCCCATCTTCCGACTCAATTGTCGGCAACTTGAGTTGAAACCCAACGAAACGTTAACGCGGAATTGAATCCTCTGTAGACTGTTAAGACCGGTAACCTTTCATATTTTCGACACTATCTCCGCCGGATCCGCAGCGTGTCAGCCCCTCCTGCAGCTGCTTTCCGCCGATTATCCTTTGGAGTGCGGAGTCGAGTCCTGCAAACCCTCAGGTCGACTCGAAGACTGGATAGTGGAGGAGGTCGTCCTTCATTGCGATCGCAATACAGGTGAATACCGGATTCATTTATTTATACTATATCAAATCTGAAAAGTTTGCTTAATTCTGAAATGCTTGGAGAATTAGTACTGCAAGTTTTCTGCCTCTGGTAATTAGAAGGAGTATCGCTATTCTCTGGGAATTGAATTTGGTTGTGAATTTTTCAGGATTGTAAATTTATGGAACTTGAACTAACTTCTTCTTCTTCTTCTTTTTTTTTTTTTCTCCTCATCTCAGGTTGCACGATGGTAATCTTCTTCCATGCTGCATGCCTTGCAGTCGAAGTCAGGAGTTCTTACTTCAATATTTAATATTACGTAGAATTCATTGAATTCTAAAAAATTCACTAGTGTCCATGAACAATTTTAAAGTAACGGCAAAAAAATCAAACACCAATTTTGTAAAATTCTTCTTCTAACAAAACACAAGTGGGTGAAGGATCCATCTTTTATTCTTTAGAGATCAGCTTTTTCGCGAATTGCTAGCTCTGCCTTTGTCATGGCTACATGTTATCCATTTTGGGAAGATAAGGATTATAATTTGGACATGTATGATAACCATATAAAGGCTTTACTTTGTATGGACTGAATTGGTTAATGAAATCTTTGTTTGTATTTGCTTGTAAACTGTGTTAATCGTTTCCAAGCTAATATTGTTACTGTTTGTCTTGAACTCTTACAGGAAAGGAGAAGGGAAACAGAGTTTGCCCCCCATGCATAAGGTCCGTTTGGCAGAGCTTATTCTTCAACTTGCTTATAAGCACTTTTTTCTCTCATAAACTTCGAAGTGTTGGAAGGAAACACTACATTTTAGCATTTAAAGTAATTGTAAGCTGAGTTTTGAAGAGCAATGTGCCACTTGCATTCTTCAAAACGTGCTTATAAGCACTTTAAATGCTAAAAAGAAACATTTCCATCCTTAAAATTTTCAGACTTATAAGCTTTTGGTGATTAAAGGTTTGATAAACAATTCTTTTCAAGCTCTGGAACTGGTATGTAACTGTATCAATCTTGATTCTCAATTCCCTAAGAAAGCTTTGGTAGAATTGACATTTTGATGGCTGGGTATATCCTTGTGGCGTTTACAAATTAGACATGCAAATCTTAAAATGTTTTCTACTGTCTTTGCCTTCTAAATGAAACTGCCAACTTTGGCAACAAAGACAGGAGTATACTTGTAATTTGTAGATTTTAAAACATCCTTAAAATTACTCTAATTCTTACTTTGGTATTTTAAAGACTCTTAGATGTTTCATTTGTGTAATAGTGACCACATGGACAAATTATTGTATCTAACTTTCTCTCTATAGCCCTCTTTATTTCTGAATAGCATCTTGCAGATACAAACAATGTTTCACAGGCCTGCGTCTTTTCAATCTATGAATTCCTTTGCTTTTCTTATCAATTTCATGATGACATTCTTTTGCAATAGTTTTCAGCCCCTATGTTGAGGAAGACAAGGCATCTTTCTAGGGCGGCATCTTTCTAGGGCAGTGAGCATAGATGCCTCTCACGTTATATTGTGTCGAGCTATTGGTGTGAGGTTATGCATAATTTGGAACTAGGGAAAAGTTGTATGCTTCCCCCTCTGCAAAGGCAACAAGAGATGAAAACATGGCTGGTGAGCAGAAACCCAGGGTAGAAAGTTACAATCTTGCAAAATCTTAGTAAGTCTTTGGCAGTTTGGCACACTCCAATCCTTAAACAAACTGATGACTTGTTAGGCACACATGCGCTTGCAGGCACATGTGCACATGCACACATGCCGACACATGGATATTTCTGACTTTTCTCCTATTCTTTTTGTCTTGGAGGACATAATGGGGTTGTTGGGATTATTTTATTGTGAGTGTTTGGCTTTTGAACTCTTCAGTGCACCGGTTTTTCTGCCATGCGTTTTTTCTTTGATGCCATGACAAGGGCATGCCAAGAATTATTTTATCATCATTTATTCTAAGTCTTTGACCCTGCCAACCCCATAAGCCATAGATACTTGCAAACTGTACTATCTACAAAGTATTAGGTAAGACTTTATCTTTAAGGGTGGTCATAAATGCTGGAAGGACTCAAATCTACATTTTGAGCACGGCTCTCCTTAACCACTTGATACAACCCAATGAGTTTATGCCAAGATTTTTTATTAGACTTGCCATAATTCATGTTCATTGCTACATTGCTTGGATGTTTCGGATTTTTCATCATTGAGACAATCTGATTCATTTAGGGAAAAGATTAATTCACTTCATAATTATGTGTTTTCTTTTTCTTAAATTATATAATAAAAAGTAATTCTTTTTTGTTTTTTAAGTCTTAATTCATTTTATTTATAAGTTATGTTACTCAAATTTAATATTTTTTATTTTTATTAGAAGAAAATTGCTACTTAAGTTGTTAACCACTTTAAAATTATGTTGATTGTGTTTTGTTCATGGTAATTTAATTATATGTTTGATTTATATTTCAGTTTGTGCCATGATTTTTTTTTTTGTTGATATAAATTATATTTATGCTATGTATCAAAAAAAATTGTATTAATTTTTTTGAACAGATTTACAATTTAGGGTAAAAAAAATCTTGATGCGCTATGATTTGCTTATGATATACTTTTATGATGACTGGAAATTGAGAAAATTTAGGAGTAATTGAAGGTTTTCTGGAATCAAGAACACGAATGTTCCTCGTTTCTTCCTCTGGGGTTAAAATCCAGGACGTTGAATGAGCCAGCATTTCCTGACGTGGATGGCTAAGATGCAAGTGGACAAATGAGATAGAATCTTTTGACTTCTGCAATGCGGGAGAGTCCTTTTTGCGGAAGACGGTGGGTTGCTTTCGTGGGACAGAAGTCACGCGGTAACGCGTAAGGAGACTGTATCCTTTAAGAAAAGAAAGAAAATGATTACTTATTATTTTAATTTTTTATCATAAGAAAAAGATTTTTAAATTTTTTCTGCCATGACTATATTTTAGAAATTTAAAAATATTTTACAAATTAAATTGTTCTTTTAAAATGCATGATGTCGATAACGTTATCATGGTTTAGTGAGCACCACTCTCTTATAAAGTATTTCTTATACCAAGTTTGTTAGATGTAGATTTCAAGTTTCATCTTTATAATTTAAAAAAAATGTATGATTTTAAAATTTATTAAATTAAAATGTATTTAATAAAATTATTTTTTATATTTTTATTAAAATATTTCAATAATTTTGTAAGTTAAATTGTATTTTTAATGTGTAATTTAGTGTAAAGCATTAATCCCTTTTAGAAACATTAATATTGATAACAAATGAGGGTTTTTTAATGATATTTCTGTTGTTATGCACGTATTATAAAAATTTTTTAAATTAAATGTTTCTAAGCGGATTTAAAAGGCATTCTAAGGACGCGTTTGGATTGCGGTTGGGGTTTTTTCGGGTCATATAGTAGTTTTAGATTTATATATATATGTTTGATAATTTTTTATTCAAATTGTTTTTTTTTTTTTAAGTTACACAAAGCCATAATAGAATTCTAATAATTTTATATATAAAATTAGAAATTTCATTTGTAATTTTTTAACTGTAGTTTTTACAAAAAAAACACATAATATTTAATATAATTGTAAAATTACTTATTAAAATTCAATTTC